GACAAGATTTGGGTCAGGGATGTTGCTTATCCCCTCTGGAACCATTTTTTTTTTTTGAAAGCAGGGACAGAAATGGGCCCATGAGATGCCACAAGGAGGATCTCCCAGAGGCTGGAGATCTGCAGGAGCACCATAAAACCGCAGGAGTGAGGGATGTGCATAGCTCAGCACTTTGTAGCTCTTTACTGGGAGAAAAATAAGGAGTGCTCAGCTGTGTGTCCAAACCCCTGGGCTGCCAACATCACAACAGCCCACCAGGAGAAAGAGCTGGGCAGTGTCCCACGGCCACCCCCACCCTCCAGCCACCTTGTGCAGGGATGCACAGCAAGGAGCCAGCCCAGGAGAGCCACATCCCTTGCCCGTGGAGCCACAGGCGGGTCAGGCCCTACCTCCATGCCTCCTGCAGCTTGTTGAGGGGGTGCGTGGGGTCGTCCCGGGACGGGCCGAGGCAGAGCACCTGGTGGTACTGCTCCAGAGCTGCCTGCCTGCATTCTGCACTGCAGTACGTCACCTAGAGCGAGGGGACAGCGCTGGCGTTGGCTGTGGCAGCAGGAAAGGGGCCCCTTGAGCCAGCTGTGCCCCCTCCCTGACCAGCAGAGCCCTGGCTCTTTGGCCCACAGCATGGAAAGGCAGACAGCGCAAGAGCCCGGCTGGATGGGAAGGACTCAAGGATCCCAAGGAGAGCACGGTCCCTCCTGGCAGTCCCGTACCTGGCAGCGGGGACACTGCTGGTGCAGGTCTTTCCGGATGCTGCACTGCTCCGGGTGAGGCAGCACCAGCGAGCTGCTCCCCAGCAGGCGCTGGGCGTTCTCCTCCGCCGTCTCCAGCGCCCGCAGGCAGTGATCACAGGCTGTGGGACACAGGAAGGGTGGAGGGATGGAGGGATGGAGGGATGGAGGGATGGATGGCACAGAAAAGCCTTTGGAAAGCAAAGGGACCAGAACCCAGGGCAAAGCAACACAAGTGGTACCAACACCAGAGAGGAACAAGGGGATGGGGTTTGGAGCAACCTGGGCTAGGGCAAGGCGTCCCTGCCCATGCTAGGGATGGAATATGATCTTTAAGGCCCCTTCCAACCCAACCCATTCCAAGATTCTATGGTGGCACCTGGCACATTCCTCCAGAGCTGACGGAAGTCACCATTCCTCAGACGGCATCTGAACTTGTCAACAGTTTGGTGCAAAGGCAGAAAAAGCAGCAGGGCCACCTTTCTAGAGGTGCTAAGCCAAACCCAAACCCTTCCCTCGGTACCTCTGCGGTCCCGCGGCCACCCCACCGCGACAGGGATGGGGACGTGCTACCAGCACCAGCCGCTCACCTCGGTAGTTGTACAGGGCATTCCAGAGGAACTGGGATGACACCACCGGCCTCTCCACGAACACTGTTTCCCCTTTGCGGATGTTTCTGGTGGCGAACAAGCCCTTTCCCTGCCGAGGGACAGCCGCGGGTCAGGGACGCGCCCGAAGCCGAGTCATACCCGGGAGCTGAGGGAATCCCTCCATGCCCTCCATCCCTGCGGGCTTCTACTCGCTGTGCCCGCCGGGCAGGGCGGGAAGGGAGGGCCCCTCACGGAGGGGAGACCGCGGGCTGCTCACCTTGGCGCTGCTGATGAACCGCGCCTCCGCCGCAGCCCCGGCGTGTGGCCCCGCCGCGGCCGCCATCTTCGGGCGGCGACTTCCCCGCCCTGACCCGCCGGGCAGCGCCTCTTCCTCTTCCTCCTCCTCCTCCTCTTCCTCCGCCCCCTGCGCCCCTCAGGGGTCCGCGCTCGCCATCGCCCCCCTCAGCCGCGGGGCGCGGGGGCCGGCAGCCATCTTGGCCCCCCTTCCACAGCGTCTGAAAACACCGCCAAAACACCCCAAAACACCGCCAAAACACCCCAAAACGGGGCCGGGGCGCTGCCGCTGCCACCCCAAATCGTACAGGAGTTTGCTGCCTCTCCCCAGTCAGTTATTATTATTTAACGATAGGGGAATAGCCGTCACAGCCCTGTCAGGCACAAGTTCCCCCCTCACTTGAGGTCTCCCCTCCTGGAAAGAGGAGGCGTCGCCCGCTGCCCTGCGCACCCGAAGTGGCCCGACTTCCCCCAAAAAAGCCTTCAAAACACGCTACTGTGGCCACTCTGTCCTGGCTTCCTCCTGCATGGGGGGCTGCAAAGCCTTGGAGTCCACGGAAATGCGTGTTTGGTTGTATTTACTAGTTGACGGCTCAGCCCCGCTCGTCGCTGGCCGGGCGGCGGGAGCAGGGTTGGGAATTCAGCACGATTCCGTGTTCGGGGCTTTGGGCAGTGCTTTGGTGTCACTAGATGTCACTGTCGGCTTGTGGCGGGGACACGACACCGGGTGACAAGGCGGGAGCTGCCACCTCCGTGCCCGGGCCGGCAGCTGGAGCACGGCCTCACGAGTGGCCGCTGGCCCACGGCATGGCCGCAGGGATGGGCACTGCTCCGGCCACCGGCCGGGGGACAAGGGACAAACAGGCTGCCAGGGCCACGTCCCCTGGCCGTGCTGTGGGATCCAGGGCTGGTGGAGCCAGCGCAGGCTGTGCTCCATCACACTGAGCCCATGGCAGGGACCACAAGGACAAGGCACAGGCAGGGCAGTGCTGCCGTCACTCACCATTACATCCGCAGCGATTCATGGAATATTTATGTGGGAAAAGCCCACTAAGACTAACGAGTCCAATGTTCCCTGGCACTGCCAAGGCCACAACTGAGCCACGTCTCCAAGTGCCACATCCACACGGCTTTTAAACCCCTCCAGGGATGGGGTTTCCACCACTGCAGCTGTGCCGGGGCTGCACAGCCCTTCCTGTGAATGAATTTTCCCCATCATCAATATAAACCTCCCCTGTCACAACCTGAGGCCATTTCCTCAGAGATTTCTTCATGGAAAGGGGTGGAATGCGCATTGGCAGGGGCTGCCCAGGGAGGTTGGTAGTCCCCATCCCCTGAGATGTCCAAGCAAGGGCTGGTGGTGGCACTCAGAGCCCGGGCTGGGGACAAGGGGGGATCGGGCACAGCTTGGGCTCAATAACCTTGGAGGGATTTCCAGCCTCTTCCTTGTCTCCAAGTGCCACATCCACACGTTCCCTGGAGCAGAGCCCGACCCCCCGGCTGTCCCCTCCTGGCAGGAGCTGTGCAGAGCCACAAGGGCCCCCTGAGCCTCCTGTGCTCCAGGCTGAGCCCCTTCCCAGCTCCTCAGCAATTCTCCAGCCCCTTCCAGCTCCTCAGGGATTCTCCAGCCCCCTCCCAGCTCCATTCCCTGCCCTGACCACGCTCCAGCCCCTCAGGCTGGCAGAGCAGGAGCTGCAGAGGTTTGGCCACATCCACCTGCAGACACAGGTTCTTGTTCTCCAGGAGCCTGAGCACCCCATACTCACCAGGCATGACTGCTCTTACTGAAAATGTAATTATATCTCAGCAGGAACCAGCCCAGAGAGAGTAACTCCCTTCATCCACTTTGATATGGGGTCATCAATCAATTGAAAAAAAGATATTTAGTATATATTTTGTCCAAAATAGTTTATTAAGAAAAAAACCCCTCAGTCTGTTTTGAGAAAGATGAAAATATATTTGGTTGGTTTTTTTTTTTTTTTTTGCTACTAATTTCAATTGAAAATTATAATGAGTACTTGGAAATTTTTCCATCTGGTTTTTGTTTTTATACTCATTCCATCTCTCTTTTTAAAATTAACTCAATTTTTACCAAGAGACAAAGCAAATAAATAAGTGACACGTATTAAGGCAAGAAATAAAAAAAAAGGTATTTCTATAAATAACAATGTAAGAGTAAAGTGATATACAGTGTTCTAGGTCAGAAAGAGATGGAATAAATTATCCTGAGCTGATGGGCAGCCATGGGAAGGCAAGGTGACAGCCTGAGTCCTTAGTCCTGGCCCCCCAAAGCCCTCCCCACCCCCAAAAATCCAGCTGTTAACCACATTGGGCTGCTCCAGATGTGCTGGGAGCGCTGCAGGTGCTGTGTCCCAGGGGATAATGAGGAGAGAACAGAGCAGCTGCCTGTGTCTGGGCCACAGTGGCACATCTGGCCGCGGGGCAGGGGGCTGTCTGCTGCAGCAGCTGAGGTGTGGAGCTGCTTTTTACTGCAGCTCCAGCCCTGCAGCTCCAGCCCTGGGCTGGCTCTCTGCAGCAGCACACACACACACACACCCTGGGCTAGGACAGCAGGGCCAGGGGACACACACCGTTTTTACTGCAGCTTCAGCCCTGCAGCTCCAGCCCTGGGCTGGCCCCCCGCAGCAGCACACACACACACACACACCCAGCCTGGGCTAGGACAGCAGTGCCAGGGGACACACACCGCCCAGGGCTGGAGCCAGCTCTGGGGAGCCATGGAAAAGGCACAGATACAGCAAGGCACTGCCGGGAGGAGGCACTTCTGCTCCAGGGCAGGGTCAGACCCTGCTCCTCGCATCCAGGAGTGTGGCAGCAAAGGGCTTCCCGCTTTGGGCCATTCTGGTTGTGACTGACCTGAGCATCAAACATGGGAGTCAAGCTGAGAGGAAGAAGTGGGCAGGGCACACAGCCACACATAACATGAGTGACCCTGGTTTTAAATGCCCTTGTGCTCAGAGCCATCAGAGACAGATCCTATTGCCTGCCCAGCATCAGACTCTCTGATTGTCACCCCAGCATCAGTCACCCTGTGATTGTCACCCCAGCAGCAGAGTAACCCTCTGATTGTCACCCCCACACCAGAGAAACCAGCAGATTGTCACCCCAGCCTTTCTGGGAAACTGTGTGCCCTGGTGCTTCATGAGCAAACAGGAGATCACCTGCCACCAAGTGATGAAGGCCCAGGAATTACAGCACTTGGCTACCAAACAGCAGCCAAAGAAATTCAGCCAAAGAAATTCAGGAGGTTCCTTCAGCCAGCTGCAGTTTAGTCCTGTAGCTCCAGCTCTCAGATCAGTCTCACTTGGACCAGAGCAGCCCAGACACGTCCCCAGGCACCGAAAAGCAGCCCGGTCTCCTCGGCTGCTCAAAGCTCCACGTCCACGGGGTCCTCCTCGTGGTCCTTGCTGTCGGTGGAGTCGGCGCTCGCAGGCTGGATCACCCCGAACTGTGACAGCTTTGCCGCCTTCTGCTCCATGCTCTGCTTCCTCCACTTGATCCTCCGGTTCTGGAACCAGACTTTGACCTGGATGGGAAGTGGCACCACAGCTTAACCCAAGGGCTCCAGGAGCCCTTTTCCAGTCCATGTGCTTCTGACGTGGGTATCCCTGAGTTATCTGCTCAAAGCAGTTAAAAAGCAGAGTTCCTTAAATTGGGGATTATTGTGCATTATTCCCTCAGGGAATAGTGAAGGAGAACAGGAGGAGGTGAAACGACAGAGGACAGAGCTGTGATGGGAAAGGATCAGGGGGCAAGGGGGTGCAGCTGCACTGAGAAGGCTCTGGCCAGGGAAGTGAAGGAAGCAGCTCCCTAAGGAGCCCCTGAACCCATCCCCAGGACTGCAGTTGCCACAGGGCATTGATGAGACCCCCGATAATTATCCATTGTCCCCCAGAACTGGCCTTGGTTTGCTCTCCCTTTTTCCCAGCTGAATTTAGATCCCACTGTGGAAGATCACCTGTCTCCTTTCCACGCTAAACAAGCAATTTACAGTGGGAGGAGCAGGAACTCAGGGGGCAGAGCAGTGAAACAATTATATCCAGTGTCATAAAAGGACACTTGAAACAGTCTCCAGAGGATCGTGACAATGCAGACACAGCAACCAGCCCAGCTCGAACTCTAAAGCACAGCAGGGTTATGCTCCTGAATGCTTTTTGTTCCACTTCATGGATTCAGAAATCTTATCCAGAAACCATCTCTTCATCTCCAGGCACATCTCTTCGATGTCACCTGGCAGCAGGGTGTCCCACGGGTCACTTTGCACCGTGTCCTCCTCCCAGTGGGAAGGTCAGGACCATCAGCACAGAGCAGCCCCAGGATCAGTTCCACCAGCTCAGCTCCCCGTCCCTTACCTGGGTCTCTGTGAGATGCAGAGTTGCAGCCAGGTCCACCCTCTCCGTGCCCACCATGTACTGCTGCTTGAGGAACTCCTGCTCCAGCCGCTCCAACTGCTCTGGTTTGAAGACTGTGCGGACTCTCTTCATCTTGCAGGGCCCCCCCGACCTCCAAGGCCCAGGGGGACCCAGCGGGTTGGTCCCGACACAGTGGGACAACTCCAGACCTGTGAGAAAGCAGCAAAAACTGAAGGAGATGCACTAAAGGAGCTGGGAGAAAGCACCGAACCAAGCAGGGATGTCCCTGCCTTGTCCCTACCCAGATAATCTCATCCACACTCCTTTCCCCATGAAAAGCTGGAGTAGAAGAACTTTTGAGGGCCTGTTCCATGGTTTTACCCTCAGGGTCCGCCAAGGACAGTCCTGGACGTGCAGCCAGACCCAAAGTAATCAGCACTCCGTGAGGTGGGCAGGATTTGACCTTTGCACAGGACCTTTGTAACAGGATAATCAATTTCATCAAGAGCTGCAGAACACAAAAATCCCACCTCTGTCTCAAGAACCCCCAAATCACAAACGTTCAAAGTTGAGCCCAGACTGGCCTCTGGTTTTCCCCTTCCCTTGGCACACGGGCTCAGTGTCCAGGATCCAGCTCTCATGCAGGACCACATCGTGCACCTCTGTTCCAGGGGTGACGATGATTTAGCAGGACTAACAAGTGTATCTGACCTGTCTGCTCTCCAGCTGTGGCCTGAGGATAACCGCAATTAGCATAAATTAACATACAATTCAACACCAGCACTGCCACTGGCACCTGACTGAGAGCAGGTCTTGCCCAACCCCTCATCCTCCCTGCTCCAGCTGATGTCCCTGCTCACTGCCGAGCAGCTCCGTGAAAATCCCTTCCCAGCCCAGCCCCTGTGATTCCAGGCGCAGTGATTGCACTGGAGAGCTCCTGCAGGGCTCACAGCACAGCCTGGAGGGTTTTGGAGCCACAGGAGCCACGGAAGGCCAGCACTGATGGCACCACGGCTTCTCCAGCGCCAGATTCGCTTCCACATCACCCACTTTTTATTTATAATTACAGCCGGTGGGATTTTCCTGTGGAAAACACAATGCACTGGCAGGATCAGGCCATGCATGGTCCCCATCTCTGCTGTTCCAAAATATTGTGGCAAGCCAGGTTTCTCTAGCTTTCATGGAGATACTGCGCATAATGATCCCCCCATTCACACCTGCTACTTATCTCTTCTTTAATGACTGATCTTGTCACGTTCTCCAGGCACAAACCTGCACCTTGACCTACTTATTTTCATTAATTGGGTGCAAGTTCTGCGTGTGTTTAAGGATTTGTGGGACGGAGACCTGACAGCTTAACAGCCGTAATTGCACTTTAAACTATTTTCATCATTAAAATCTTTTCACCCATCACTTTTTGTTTCTATTTTAACACTGGAATAATAGCAAGTGTAATTTCCAACATGAAACGCTGAGTGGAAATCGCTCTGCAAATTGTTTAACTGTGTTTTCATACCTGGAAGTTTGGTACAATATAAAGATTAACACAATTCTGCAGATGCTGTCTCGTGAAAGAAATAATATATTAAATAGTTGTGCTAAGTACTTAATAAACGATTAGCAAATACTTTTGGTGTCTGAATATTGTAGCATCGGGATCAAATCTGGAGTTCTTTATACACAGGGAAACCTGGCTGCAGGTTTTACCTGGACAACAACAAAGTCATGCTCTGAATGCTAAAAAGGAATACTTAATTTCAAGAAAAATAGTCTGAATAGAAATATTTTGTTTAAATCACTTGGTCGTTGTCCTTATAAAGCTCCAGTGAAAATAGATCTTGACTGATCAGGCAGTATCATCCATCACCACGGTGTAAATTCTACCCACAGGTCAACAAAAACATTTTCCTTAGATGCTTCTGCACTAAAAATATGAAGTTTTGAGGGCCAAGTGCCACAAACCACTTGTCAGTTTCACTTATGTGAGTGAAAAATTGCAGGGAAAGCAAAATTAGAGAGAGATGAGGGCAAATTTGGAAGAAGAGGGACGCACGCAGCAGCAGAGGTCAAGAAATTAATTTTGGGAGCGAGGCTTTGGGAAATTACAGCAAGTTTTTCATTAAAACTCTGGCAGTGAAATGCCCTTTTGATAAATGAAAGGAGAAATAAATGCCGGTGTGTGTAAAGTCACCCGTAAAATCTCATGGCATCACAGACTGCTTTGGGTTAGAAAGCTCCTAAAGATCATCCGGTTCCCACCTCCGACACCTTCCACTAGCCCAGGCGCTGCAATACTGGTTTTAGCTCTGTCACTTTACTATTAAATCTATTCCAAGTTTCGGCTCCATCTCAAATGCAAACAATGAGTTTGGATATTCTGCAACAGGTTCTGGACTGGGGACTGAATCATGGATTAGTAAAATCCCGCAGCATCTTCAGGAATCAGCCACAGGCTCTTTCTTTGTCAAACTCATCAGGTGTGTTACAAACTGCCTCGCAATATAAAAAAATTACACAAATAAACAAAAAAACCCCGCATAAACCGTTAATTGTTGGTCTCGCTATATCGATCACCTACAGAGAGGGAAAAAACTCCAAGGAAAGTTTTCCCTTCCCCTGATCCCTGTCCCGCAGCCCAGCGCTTCAGCTCGGGGCTGCTCCAGAGGCCGCAGGGACGAACCCACCGCGGCAGCGGGGAGCGAAGCTTTGGGGTGACCCCGACCCCGACCCCAAAGCGGGGCGCTGCCGGCCGAGCGCCCGCCGCGCCGTCCCGCATCCCGTCCCGGTGCCGCATCCCCGCTCCCGGAGCCCGCTCACCTGCTCCGGGCCAGGGCCAGGGCCAGCCCCACGCGGGCAGCGGCCCCAGCCCCGCC